TAAATAGATATCATGCAGATAATGTTGTTACCCAAGATACAGAGCATATTGAACCGATACTTGGCTCTCACCCATGGTAAATCAAAGCAACAATCAAACATCCCACATATCTAAGTATCACAATTAGGGTTAAGAATTAGTAGAGTCACCGAGACCTAGGTTCTTCATGATAGTCAGAACTGAAGAACACGTCTCAACTGTGATCCATTCAATGCGATGCAGCGCACTAGTATAAACCAATAGCCAAGACAAGCTATATCCAGTTTATACTACAACCTAAACCGATAGTAATGTCCATAACTATCTCAGTTGTGAATACCATTTATATCTTATAAGGAACCGACAATGTAATCTTCTGTGTGACTACTAACACACCACATTGTCTACAATATAAGATAATTGGACATTTAGCATACAAGCAATCATAAAGAATGCAACAATGTGAAAACATTTATTTCAGTCAAATGGGAAATCGAATAAATACAATCCAAAAGCTCACATAAAAGTTTGCTTTACTGTATACCCCAACATGAAGTATTGATTAACACAGCACTCAAAGCGGGCACGTTATGCGAGGAGGCGCTATCATTAAAGTAACTGACAGACGCGACGCGTGGCAGGAAAGTAAGCACGGCAGAAAGGACGTGTAACAGGTGACCCCATCCCTGGCAATTAATAAGGTATTACTTGAAAAAATAAACGAGAAATCCGCCAGATGGTCGATATCGGACACCAGGATGCCCAGGAGGTCGATAGACACAAACTCACTCTTAGATCGAATCATTCAGACTCGACCAGAGTGGGTGGGACTAGATGATATAGGATATTATACCCACAGGGTTAAACCGGTAAATAGACCGGTTAAGGAAGTCATATTATGAGGAAGCCAAGGAAATCGAGCAGTTAACCAGTCGACCAAGCAAAGTTGTCGACCGAACTATCCTTCGACCTGATGAATGATCGAGCAGTTCATTCGGCCTCGACAGGTCAATCACTTTGATGACATAACACCACGCGGATCGGCCTAGTCATAGGCGCATGAAAGAGTCTCTAACAGAATTCCAGGAGAATATTTACCCCATTTGCAAGGGGACACGCGTCGAGAGGGCAGTGGTGGATAGCGATAACCACCTCTGACAGCCTACCCCATGTGCAGGAGGACACGCGTCAAAAGAGGATTGGTGCAGGCAATAGTGGCGACGGCGACCTCTGACACACGCGTATGGTGTGTACGGACGGGCAGTTAGGGTAGACAACTCATCAAATCCGGGCAGTCCTAGGTCAGGTATCTCACCCCTATATAAAGGGAGTGGGCTTTTCTTCTTCAACACGATCATTCTATTGCTTACTCTTGAGAATTGATTGAACATACACTGACTTAAGCTTCAGAGGCTCTTCACCGGAAAACCCCTCCGACGTGAGAGTTCTTTGTAGGTGCACGACGTTCAACCGGCGAGAAGGAAGGCGATCATTCAAGTTCCAGCCGGTCGGGAAGTTTTGTTTTACCAGGACTCAAAAAAATTCCGCGTCATTTATTTCTCATGCTTCTAGGACTTCTTCTTATTCCCATTATCCATAAATGACACCGGAAGCCAAGACTTTGGTGACTGGTTGCCAAATTATAATCCCTATAAGATCCAAAGAGAAATGAGGACTGGATACGATGAGCCCGATCACTACCTCATCTCAAATATGATACTTACGGTTGCCAGACTACCAGTTGCGCCTCTTGAATTCGATGTCATGGATTGGTGGTCGAAATGAGTATCATTTATCATGTTCTATGCTTGATGGTCAAAGAGGTTTTTATTGTCATGTTCATAGGTACAGTTGAACAAGCATTTAGTGAGGGGGAATATACACTGGACGGATGACAGATGAGTTGACGTCCCAAAACTTGGAGGCTTAAATTCCTCTAATTATTGGAAGAAGGCCGAAGCAGGGTACAAACGACCATGCTAACTATCAAAGAGGATGAAAAAGAAGAGGCATCAGATTTTACTAATACTAGTGGAACCGGCGAACCGAATACGACTCTGAAACCTACGATTACTAGAGGGTTCAGCGCATTCTGTTATCTTATTTCATCAGGGACGACAACTTTGATTCCAAAGGTAAGATATAGTAGACAATGTAATTGGCATATTATTAGTTAAAATATCATTTTTCAACCTAAAAAATTCTTAAATTTAATTGATATTTTAATTTATAATATATCAACTAAGTCAAAGTTCAATATTTGTAAACACCTTACCGTCCCCTCTATTTTTTTTCTTCAAAAACTTATCGGAAACGGCTCATTCCTTAATCGGCGAACTGGTTCTACCGTGAACCGCCGATCCATTGAACCGACATGTGAATATTATCGGGCTTGTCGAAAAATGGTCATGTCTAACTTAATCACCATCCCAAAATTCAATTCAAAAATAAGCTTTCAGGGCCAATGCCGTCGATTAATGTTCTAGATCATCTTGACGGCTAGAAACTAAAGTTACATACACTACTCCATGAACTGGGGTCCATCTTGCAGACCATTTGATACATATATTCATTCAAAACAAGAAAAAGATTAACAATAAAGATTAGTTAATTTCCAGAATTCATAGAAAGAGAGAGAGAAAGCCAGAGTCAATTTTGAAAACTCAACCGCTCCCAATTTTCTCCTTCTCCTTTAATCCCACCAAATTCCACAATCATTCAAACCGATTTGTGAAACCTCTCTTCCTTCGCATACGTTTTCATCGTCTTATCTGGAGACTTATCTGTTGGTGTTGCTCTACCTGGTACGCTGCCCTGCTCTTTTCTATCAGCTGGTTTATCGATTTCCATGAGTTTATTGTTTGGATTACTTGATAATTCTCACTCTTTGATATTTGGATTTACAGATTTTTATGTGTTCCCGCAGAAACCTTTGTTTGATCTTCTCTTTGTGTTTGTGTACATACGCGCTTTGTTTCGACTTCCGCTATATGATCCTCTGTCAATAATCTCTTCCTTACATTCAGTTGTTTGACTTCGGATTGCAGTGTTCAATTGGATATTTCTTGTTTGAGATCCTTTTTATGCTGTAGCATAATTTCATCTCCAGTGGGCATACAATTTCTGGGTGAAGAATTTGATCTTTGAATTTGGAATTGATTCCCCCCCTTTTCCTCCGTCCCCTAATTTTCAGTAGCTTAACAGATATCGTTTTTGTTATGTTAAAATATCCAGCATGAGGGACCGGGTGAGATTCAACGTGGGCGGCCGTGTCTTCGAGACCACAGCCACCACACTTGCGAATGCGGGACGAGACTCCCTATTCGGAGCCTTACTCGACGAGAGCTGGGACCTCCGGTCGGAGCCCACAGCCGAGCACTTCATCGACCGCAACCCAGACTGCTTTGCTGTTCTCCTTGACCTCCTCAGGACGGGCGGCCTCCACATCCCCCCAAACCTACCCGAGAAGCTCCTCTATCGGGAAGCACTCTACTACGGCCTTCTTGGCCATGTACGGGCTGCCAGGTGGGGCCCGTTTGATGGCAACGCCCTCTGCCTGTCCGCCTCGGTTCCAGGCCGGGCCCCAGGGGACGGTACCGCTATCCGGGCAGGGCCGGACGGAGGCTGCTGTGTGGCCCATGGCAGCATAGTCCATGTGTACGACTGGATGCTGGACGAGCACCCGCCGATCAACCTCGATTACCAGAGGGTTAACGACGTCATTTGGGTCGACTCGGAAAATATCGTGATTAGCGCGTGCGAGCGGCTCGGGAGATACGATGGTGGAATGGGCCTGTTCAGCTCGTCGAATGGCGAGTTAAGGTGTAAATTCCATGTCACGCACGAGAATCAAGTTAAGAGCTACACTGGGGGTGCCCTCAGCTTCAACTCGGACTATAAGATTTTCTCGAGCTGTAAAGGGAGGAGCAACGAGTACGGGATAGGTGTGTGGGATCAAGTGACGGGAAAGCAGGTGGATTTCTTTTACGAGCCTCCCGGATGGTCGCTTGGCGAGGCTGACAAGCTCCAGTGGCTCGACGGAACCAACTGCTTGCTTGTGGCGACTCTTTTTCCGAGAAAAGATAATTGTTACATTAGTTTGCTGGATTTTAGGGAGAAAAGCATGGTTTGGTCGTGGTCGGATGTGGGGGCCCCGGGGACTGACGATCGTAGGGTTCGGGATGCGATAGCCATGGAGGACACGAGCTCGGTTTGCGTAGTGAATGAGTACGAGGATTTGGGGTTTATGGACCTGAGGCGGCCTGGTGGGGCCATCAGGTGGAGCTCGAGAAGCCGGTTGATGAAAGGGAAGATGCCGGACGAGCCATGTTATCCCAAGCTGGCATTGCACGGGGGGCAGCTCTTTTCATCCATGAACGATTGCATATCGGTTTTCTGTGGGCCCGACTGGGTTCTCACGTCGAGGCTGAGGAATAGTTATGGGGGTTCGATTTGCGATTTTTCTGTCGGTGGGGATAGGCTTTTCGCTCTCCACAGCGAGGAAAACGTGTTTGATGTGTGGGAGACCCCGTCTCCTCCGATTATGTGAGTCAGAGGTAGCTCCACCTGAAAAAGTGTGTTTCTTTTTTTTTTTTTTTTT